TTGAAATGACTTATTTGTGCGCTAGCCGAGAAAATCGACATTTGCATTACGTAGTGAATTTTCTTCTCGCAATAATACTATTAGGACTTGAGTATTAGTTTCCTTAGATGTTACAATGTGAATTTGCATTATTTTTGCCACGCTGTGTATAATCCTTTTTTTTTTAATGCAATTTATAGGCTGCACCATTAGCTCCCTGCATCAAATATAAAGTTGTTTAGTGATTAGCTTTTTATGTTCCAGGAAATTCAGGCCTCATTTGGCCCAACGAAGGATCAATTGAAGGAGTTTTGAGATATTTTGCAATGGTCTTAATGGCATTATTTTTCAAGCTTCTCTCCGCTTTTCGTATTTTGTATAAACAAAGCAGCAGCGCTGAGGCAATTCATCCTTCGTATACGGCAGTATCTCACGCTGAACATAATAAAGTTGTTGAGGTTGTCAAAGAAGACCGAGTTAATCCTTGTTTAGAGCGTATGGAGAGGCTTGAGGAAATGTTCTCAGCGCTCAAAGGCAAACCTGCTGAGATTCCTGTAGATAAGGAGCGTGTGCTAATGGACTCTTGGGATAGAATCAAATCTATTGAGTTTGATCTAGATAAAACCAAGAGAGTATGTTTCTGCATCCATTTTATTTTCTGCTTCCATTTTGTGGATATTCATTTAATATGATCTACCGCTGGTAACAAAGACTCGGACTTGAAATATAAAATCAACTTATTCTTCTTTCGATAGCATTGTGTGACGGTTCATCAAATATTCTTTCTTGGTAGAATTTGCACACCAAACATTAGAGTGTGATCGGTTTACAATGGACGTTTCACTAGGCTTTCATCAAGTACTGTATCTTAAAGTATCCAACTTTCCTAGAATATTTCTAAAATAGCTGAAATTATATGATATAGCAGCATAAAATTCCGTGCTGGTAACCATGTTTAAACCTGTTCTTTCAGCTTTATTTAACAAGTTAAGAAACAGGTTCAAATAAATCCTGAAAATTCTCCAGCCTTTTCATCACGATGATTCAACAGCTACTTCAAGTAATAATTCCTTAGCTTATAATTAAAACTTAAAACATTATATGAACGGTGCCAAAAACTTGACCGACCTTTTTTGTAAATCAACAATTACAAGAATTTGATGACACTAATAGAAGATTTAAATTCCGGCAACGATGCTAAAAACTTGACTGCGACTTTATATATATATATATATGTATATATATGTTGTGAAAAACGACGACAATAAAGCGAAAAATGGAACAAGAAAAAAATTGCACGCGGGAATAACACCAAAGCGACAAACGGATTTACGTGGTTCGGCAAATTTGCCTACGTCTACGGAGCTGCAGA